GCTTATGAAGGCCCGCGTACGAGAGCTTGAAGAGCAACTAGCAGAGGTAACAAAGCGCCGAGGGCGTAAAAGAAAGCGGATTCAGACAGGCGGGACACTAGAATTTTGGTGCAGGAGCATCGCAGGCAGCTGAAAGTGCTTCTACTAGTCGTATAATATCAAAGAAAGCGCGTGGTGGGGGTAGTCAAGAAAAGGCCCAGCCAGGTCAACGGCACTGTGGAATCTGTGGGAGAGTGGGCCATAACGCCCGTACGTGCCAAAAAGATGTAGAAGAAGATTCTATGTTAGATGCAAGTGAGTCGTACGAAGCATCTATAGCTAGTGTAGAGTAATTCAAGTTTTCATATGTGATGTTCGCGATGCCAAGAAAAAGTGGCACACTCGGTGGGGTGGCACTCTCGGTGGTGGAATACGTTATATAATAAGCTTAAATGAATAAAAAACTTAATAGTAATAAAAAAAGTAGTAGTAGTTAAGTAGTTATTATATAACTTCTTAAAAAGTACTTATTAAGTTATTATTAAATTCAGCAAAAACTTAACTAAAAATACAATTAGCTAGTAATTTTAGTATTTAGAAATACTAAAGCTTTAGCTATTAAAAGCTAAGTAATAAATTATATACTTTATTTATTTTATTTATTTATATACTTAGTAGAGAATAGAAGCCTATTCAAGTTTATTGATCTCTATTAGAAGTAATACTATTTCCCTTTCGCGATTTACTAGAAAATCATAAGGTGTAGACCAACTTCTTGCTAGACACTTGTCCCAAGCGAAGAGTCTCCAAACCCTGAATAACACCTTTGAGTCCACTACCGCCACGGTTGATCTCAAGCCTTGGGATCTTGACCTTCCCAGCAGCCACTAGATCTTGGCCAAACTCCCAAAAGTCTTTAGCGAAGGCGGCGTCCTCTGGTCGTGCTTCATAACGTCGTCCCGCACGCGTAAATGGTTCCCCAAACACTGTGTACCCAATTGTAAAGTAAGTATCGACCATGGGGTTGGTGCCGTGAAGATGGTCGTGTGGGGTACGTGGCTGCAAGGTTGCATACATGCCCTTCTCGCTGTCGCTCATGGCTAGGGCACACAGGCGACCAGATTCAGGCCCTGGCCGGCAGTCCCAGGCAATAGTAAGATTGCCTTTGGTGTGCTTTTTGATCTCACCAGCTAGAGTTTCGACGTCATCATGGTAGTCAAAGACGGCGTCGGCACCCAGACTGCGTAGGTATTCAAAATTATGTGGCGAAGCTGTTGTCAATACAACCAGTCCCGAGAGCTTCGCGAACTGAATACCAAAGATGCCACTGGCAGTGCTACCTCCATAGATAAAGATGGCTCTGGGCTTCTTTGAGGAGGGACGGTCTTCAGGAGTAATTGTCGGCAAGGGCAGCTTGAGCAATTGGTAAAGGCTCTGCCCACACGTCATGATACCCACAGCAAGCGTTGCGGCGTCCTCGAAGCTCAACTCATCGGGTATCTCAGCTAGTAAGTCCCCTTTGGCGATAATGTACTCCCCAAAAGCGCCGCTTTCTGCGTCTTTGCTATGAATATAGTCAGCGACTCGTTGCTATCACAATCATCAACGTGATTGACATGCTGCTGATAGATGGTGTATAGAAGGAACACGGATAATCCTTACGCTCCCCAGACACCACCAAAAACACGATCGCCTTTGTTCCATGACTTCTTTGACCCAGAGCCAACTTCCTCGACAACGCCTGCAAAATCAATACCCGGACGCGTCCCTATACTGCCTCCATCACCAGCATAGATACTCTTCCAATCAGTCGGATTCAACGCAACAGCCTTGGTTCTGATCAGGATGTATCCATCCGGGATCGCTTGGACTGGAACAGTCTTAATTGAGACTTCGCCAATAGCTGTGCATATGAGGGCTTCGCAGGTCGGCTTGGATCCCATGCTTGCGAACGGGTGTTTGTGTGTCGCTTGGTCCATTCCTGTTGAGATTGTTTGCCCTCGTACGACATGGTTATATCCGACACGAGCAGTGCGGAGCGGGACGATATCATGCTTATATAATCACCGACCGAAGCAAGTCTTACGTAAGTACCCGAAAGCCCGGTCCAATGTACCTCCACCGTCATTGTTGACTCCGAGTCCTGCAGCCACAACCCTGCGAACAAAAAGTCACGACTAAGCAAAGACAACGGTTAAGTTTCAGACACATTTAGGTATTTCCAAGCATTCTTCCGCTATTTCATAATGAGCTGGAGCGGTGTTCCGCTTGACAGGGTCAGAACCATAGTGAACTAAGTATTACTTATAGAGCTAGCGTCAGCAATTTCCATAGGGTGTAGTGTATGAATCACCACGCAACACCTCCACATTTAAATTTTTAACTTCTGTTCTTTTTTGGCAGGACGATCAGCATACCTAGCGGCGAAGCAGTTCCATCAACCCGACACTCAACACCGGTGCTGAGGCACCCACCGGCATCTGAAATGTCAGGAAAGAAAAAATGTCCGAATCTTCGGCGTGTTCAAAGTCACCCTACTGGTTCTGGCACACACTGTAAGGTCTGTGTACTTCAACGGTAAAATCAACAACAACGAGCATAAATCTGCGGATTTCTTTTGGATATGCATGGTAACACTCTGGTGACCATGGAAACGTCGACACTGGTCATGGTTACGACCATGATAGGCATTGCCGCCATCACTGTGCTCTTCTGGAGTCTTTATCCCAATCCATTGCCAGGAATACCTTATGATCCGGCGTCACGCGGGCGCATGCTGGGCGATATACCGGACTTTGCAGCCAGAGCGCAGCAGACCAAGGAGACTTCACAGACGCTGTTCCTACTGCCGGAGCGACTCGGGGTACCGGTGGCCCAATTTCTGTCGACACGCTTCGTGAGGCCCATGGTTCTCATCAATGAGCCGCGTGAGGTCGAGGATGTGCTGAACCGGCGCAACCGCGAGTTCGACCGGGCACCATTCACGGCACGCTTGTTCCAGCCGTTGCTACCACACTCGACCGTCGCGCAGATGACAACGCCGGCCCTCAGGGCACAGAAGCGGCTGTGGGCCGACGCCATGAGCGCATAATTCCTGCGTGATGCTGTTGCGCCCAGCATCCATGCCGCTGCCCTGGACCTGGTTGCCCTGTGGCGCCTCCGAGCGCGCGATGCTGGCGGTGCGCCCATGAGCGTGCTCCACGACTTGGATCACGCTGCCTTGGACGCCATCTGGATTGCTGTGCTCGGCTCGCCGCTCGGCATTGTACGACGAGATATAGCTAGGTCGGCCCAACCAGCGGCCACCAAAGACAATCCGCAGCGCAAAATGGTTCCAAAAGGCACATCTGAATCCGAATCGATTGCCTCGGTCGAAGCCTTGCAGGAGGCAGCCGAGCACATGAACTGGATGATCAGCGAGACGCTTAATTCCATCTGGCCACGGGCGAGAATGCTCTACTTGAGATGCATGCCCAAGTACCGTCGCCTTCGACGGACGCTAGACCAGGAGCTCCAACGGCTGATTAAAACCGCCCACGAACGGTTCAAAAAGTCTGCCGTTTCCGATTCCAAGGCTGGGCCTCCTGACATGCAGGAAGCCTGCGTGATGAATCTTGTTCTTCGCCGCCTGGTGCTGGCCGAGGCCAAGACCGGGCTGCCTCTAACGGATCCCACTGCAGATCCGTCCATCTCACAGGAACTCCTGGTATTCTTGTCAGCTGTGGGTCTTTACCTCTCCATTTCATGAATTCAAATTTGAATTTGATTACCGCTTATATTGCTAACATGGTGTGCTGTGGTGGCGTAGGGTCACGAGTCGACAGGATACTCACTATCGTGGTTCGTCAAGATCATGGCCGCCAACCAGTCGGCGCAGGCCACGCTCCGCCAGAAGCTACAATGTGCATTCCCAGGCCAGGAGATGCCGTCAGCAGCCCAGATTCTCGACGCCAACATTCCCTATCTCAGCGCTGCGGTTGAGGAGCTGCTGCGGCTGTCAGTGCCGAATGGCATCGTCACGCGACAGGCCGTGGTCGACACGCAAATCCTGGGCTACGCCATCCCCAGGGGTACCGATGTGCTGCTAAATACTCGCTGTCTCCATCGCCCACCGCACGTGCCAGAGAGCGTGCGTAGCCCGACTAGCCAAGCAGCGTTGCAGCGAAAAGGCTACCAGGGACGCGAGGGCGAAAGTAGCGGGAACCTCGACGCATTCGAGCCGCAAAGGTGGCTAGCAAAAGACGAAGCAGGCAGCGAATACTTTGATCCATCTGCTCTGCCATCTCTGCAGTTTGGAGGCGGCATTCGGGGCTGTTTTGGTAAGTAAGGAGTGCGTCCTATGTACTTGGCAATTGCCTCCTCTTACCATCACTTTTGGAGCTATTACTGCAAACCGATGTGCTGACCCAAAACTACCAAATAGGCAAGAAGCTGGCGTATCAAGAGTTGTACATATTCTTGGTTGTGCTACTGTTAAATTTCGAGTTCCGACCATTGCCTAAAGAATTGCAGGACATGGGTGGAAAAGAGGCCATCTTCCGCAGTCCCAACATGTGCCATGTTAATCTTTCACTGCTATGACAGGCAAAGTTGGTGAATTGGCTTATATTTCACGATCAAATACAGAGAGGTATGCCTTTTGTGAATGTGATATATAGAGAGGTTGTAATACTGTATATGCGACGTCTATATCTAGGTAGACATATGCCAGTAAACAGGCAAGAAATGAGTGACTTGAGTAGAGTTAGGCATCACAGCTAACATGTTGATGCAAATACCCTTGCCGTACGTAAGAACTACAAAAGATATTTCTGAGTAGAGCCGAGTCATTTCCTCTCTGTTTGCGTGTTATTCATTGATTTGTCACAAATCTACAGGTGCTCCGAGCAAGAAAGTCATGTCAAATATCAGGCCACCTCATTTCTCTTAGATAGTCTTCTCTGCGATCTTACTATTTCGTGACAGGAAGGAGAAGGATAGTCGAGAAGGGTTATCTTCTCATGTAAACACCATGCCTAGGGTAGAAACAAGAACAGTGTAAGAAAAAAAGAAGTTGCTAAATCGCATGGAAATCAGACAAAAAGTCATCATGTCGCCTTTATAACTCAACCTAACACGCCGCAGTATTGCCTAATGTATTGGTTAAATTCGGTCATCCCCTTTAAGTTATCGCCATTTAGGTATGCTAACAGAGTGGTGCTTATATGTACCTGTAGGGTCCTTCCATAGTCCTACACTAATTCAGGATCAGGCATAGCCTGATCCTTTACATACCCTACTAAGGACTGTCTCTTTTCCCTCTTGACTTCTAAGATAGTCTTGCTGCATTCTTAGTGTTGCCGCTTCTCTCAACCGGGTCGGACTTGGGCCGGGTTCCGATGGCTCCGAGCTGTGCAGTATCCCCACCACTGCGACTGCGCCTCTTTCGTGCCACCACACGGACAAAAAACGGAAACTTCACCCCCGTTTATTCATTCTTGACATAAGTCTCATTCAAAGAACAAGGAAAATTCGAGTGATCATCTAGCTCACATGAAGTCTTACTTCGTATCACTTTCAGGCTGTGAAGGGTTGTGGTTGCGGAGATCACTTTTGGCCGTTATTATATAAAGATTATGTAAAGATGTATCAAGATATATGAGGATGGCAGCCCCGTTCTATTCTACATGGATACAGGGGGGAAGCGGGTGTGGCTGATACGGGATCCCGAAAAAGGACCGCGGCGGATCGATAAGAGCATAATCATTCAAGGCTCTGATACATAGCGGCCTTTCCCGGAAGTACCCAAGTATAAAACTGGAATAGCTGAATTAGTATAATATATATCTGTCAAGCCGTAGCGGTCCTTCACCGGTGGTTCTCGAGACAGATCACGACATCCTCTTTCGTCCTTGTGCTCTCTTCTTGATAATGAAGATCAGTGTATGAAAATATCTCAAGGCAACTAAAACACAATATCAAAAAAAATCGAGAGACCACTGCATCCTGAGGATAAGCAGGAGTGAGGAGAAGACTTGGTCGCCAGGCAAGTTTCAGATGGCAGGGTAATGTGAGGCTTGAAACAAGTGATACGTTGGCCTACGTGTATAGTTTTAGTACACACCCAATCTTAGCTCGTCTTTTGCTCTGAAAAGTGGGCCAAAACTACATAGCGCAGCTTGATGATAATGATCTGCTTTCTTAGTAGTGCGTCAATGAGGTTCTGGACGACACACCAACTTCGAGTTTTCTGGAAACCGCTAGGAAAGCACGCTATCTAGGAGAACCGACCACGAGGAATCGACTAACAGCACTTTTAACACCTGCAGCTAAGGCGCTAGCGTGCAGTAGGGAGAAGAAGGAGGCCTTCCTTCGTTTTCTCACGCCTGTGAGAATTTTCTCACAGAGCTTGGGCTCTAATGCCAAGACTAGAGGGGCCAATAGGAACGCAGGAGCTTATTGAAGCTTATTATTATTATTATTATTATTCCATTAGAGTCTATCTGCAGTCAGTGACTATGTAAGACTTTGGCCAGAGGCCGTTCTAGGTACAATTTGTTTAAAGTGAGAGTGTTCTCTGTATAGTACTGCTATTGTGCTGCGGTTTAGTCGCTTCTAGCTGCGCTTAAAGCGGACTCCAGTTGCTAAAGAGCAGTTTAGTAAACAGGAAGAGATGTTAGACAGCAGGGCTGTCTTCCAGCGAGCT